CAAGCTCTAGAAGACTTGGAAGGATGTTTTCTTTCCTGTGTTGTTTTGAGCACTGTCTTGTGTGTCGCATTGGAGGGAGCAATTGGAAAACCTGGCTCCGAGAATGCTCAGGAGGAGGCGTGCCCGATCTAGCAGGATGTTGCAGGTCAACTGGTTTGACACCAGCCCTGTTGACAGCTAGGTCAGAAAGTGAGTTGGCAGGCTGTGAAGGGTCGCAGTCAAACTGCAGCTGATGGTCTTGGTGATCGACAAGATGGCAAGCGGTCTGCTGAAGACGTCCCACAGGCTGGATGGTTGCAGCATGTGCCAGTTTGAGGGAGAGACCGGTAGGTCTTTTTCCCACTTGCCAGGTGAGGCTTATCTTCTCCTCCTCCTCCTCCTTGCCCTTCTCTTCCTCCTCCTCGTCCTTCTCCTCCTCGCCGCTCCTCTTTGCCAAGTGTCTCGCCAATTAATTTTGCCAACTTCATCGCCAATCGTCTTCGCCAACTTCCTCGCCAATGTTCTCTGCAAGCTCCGGATTGCAGGGAGCGCCGCTGCATGCACCTCAGCCGCCAGCGTCAACCACCAGCGTCCGAGCGCAGTGAGCAAGCACGCTTGGACATCCACCAGCTCAGTGCGCGTGCCGGACCTCAACCGCCAGTCCGAGCTCAGTGAGCACGCTTGGGCCTCAAGGGCCAGCTAGAACGTGCCAGAAACGATGCCAGAATAAATGCCAGAAAGAATGCCAGATAGCTTGGCAGAGAGAATGCAAAGAATGCCAGAAAGAATGCCAAATAGAATGCCAGATGGAATGCCAGAAAGAATGCCAAACAGAATGCCAGAAACAATGCCAGATAGATTGGCAGAAAGAATGCAAAGAATGCCAGAAAGAATGCCAAATAATGAGTGCTTGGCGCGCATCTGTGCATTGGACCCATATTTGACAGACCACTGGTTTCATCTTCAGGAGCCAGAGGCGAAACAGGCTGAGGAGGACTGGTCATGACTGGCCAACGGCTGTATGAGATGGATACTGTGTGTTTGTTTCCATTCACAATCAGTTACGCATCATCCCGGCAAGAGACCCCAAACAGTGTGGAGTGTATATGGTAGAGACCCTGGTTACGGCCATCCAGGTATGTTGCAATGAAATGAGGGTGAGCACATAGGAGCACAAATGCGAGAGCGCACAAATGAAAGCACATAAGAGCACACATTTGAGAGCGCATAGGAACATACGTATGAGAGCACACATATGACAGCATATAAGAGCGCACAAATGAGAGCACAGATATGAGAGCGCAGAAGAGCACACAGGTGAGAGCACACATATGAAAGCGCCTGAGAGCGCACGTATGAGAGCACGTAGGAGCACACATATGAGAGCACAAATGTGAGAGCACATAGGAGCACAAATCTGAGAGCACACAGGAGCACATATAGGAGAGCGCATAAGAGCACACATATGAAAACACATAGGAGCACACAAAGGGCTGAGTATCTAGGTTTGCTGGACCCTAACAACTTCCAAACAATGGGGTTCTTGCTCCTTTGTCTGAGGAGTTCCGTTCCATTTGCAGGGAGCGTTTGCCAGACTTGGTGAGTGACCAGACGTTGTTTCCTTGGTCAAGTTTGTCCTTGCTCATGACGCGAGTCGCCACAACGTGCTTGGAGAAGATCAGTGCCATGAACAGCAAGGCGCACTGCTGCTGTCTCTTCCCGATCAATTGGTTCAAGGACCAGGGGGTCCTGCTGCAGACTTCGAGGGAGACTGGAGCAGTCCTGACAGCAGAACAACAAGAGCTGTGGGTATCCAGATTGCTTCATGAGGCTTGCGCCTTGCGCTGCTTCCAAATGATCATTTTGCTTCAGTGGGGAATATGCGATTTTCACCAGAACAGCGCATCAAAGTCCTTTCCGGAACATCTTGAAACATAAGCCGTATTGATTGGTGCTTGCGACGAACAGACATTTTTCAAAGCTTATTGAGCATCCCCGTGCTCTTTAGGGGTGGGTTTGGAAGTTTCATGCATGAGCACCATGCCACCGTCTCACCCCATGCCAGATTGAGATGCACATCTTGGAGAAGTTGCAGAAATTCTCCTTGGAGGAGATTGATGTCACCACTTTGCGGCAGAACGTTGCCGGACTGCTGCGCCACTTTGAGCCCAAGTGGCGTGCCCGTATCCGTGATGCTGCCATCCAGTTCTCCCAAGCATTCCATGCCAAGTTCTCTTGGAGCGATGATGAGAAGGACAGGTTGAGAGCAGCCTTCATCGCTGGAGATATAGACTCAGCCATGCGGCATGCACCCAACAGCTGTGGGTCTTGAACTTGGCCATGCGTGAAGTCTTTGCAGAAGGCGCGAAAGCAAGCCGCTGAAGCGAAGAGATTGCAGCAAGTAGAACAGGAAGTGAAGATGACGCAGGAGGCTTGCAAGAAGGCTTGGGGCGCTGTGGATTGCTCCGAGAAGGAGGCCGAGGAAAGGAGCCAGCACTTTGCCGCGATTCAGATGAGCCTTTGGAGGTGAGTGGTGGGGCATTTCCCGTGCACGTTGAGGAATGATCATTATTTAAAGTTTTAATCAGAGCTCTGGTTGAGACCGGCGCATCCATGCCAGCGTCTTATTCTCATGATTTCTCATGCATGTTGCACCGGTCAGGAAGATGGCGCAAGAGAGTTTCGAAAAGTCCCATGATGATTGGGAAGGTGCAATCGAGAAGGCTTGAGAGCTGGTCGCTGAGAAGCTTGAGAGCCGTGAGGCCGCCCACAAGGCGAAGGTGGAGGTCAGCACACCCAAATGCTACACGGCATTGCCCCGAGATGTGATGCGAAAGCTGGATGGCGGCCGTCGTGGGGTGATGTGGCAAAATTATGTGACAAACTGACATTTTTTGCTCTCTTATGTGGCAAAATTATCTTGATCTGCCCCCTCTTCATCCTCACATAGGGGGCCCAACTGAAGCGGTAGTGTTAAAAGCCTGTTTTCCCGGTCAATTCCACCACTTAAGGGGGTATGGGGGGGTGGAACCAAACTGAAATTCCAGGGGGTGACCCCCCCCCACTTATTCCAGCACTTAAGGGGGGGTGATGTCATATATTATGTCTTCTCTTGAGTTGGTGGATTCTACTTCCCTAAAGTCAGCCTTTCCGCCACTGCATTCATGCCCTGCAACCTGCAACCTCCCTGCTTCCTCTCGCACGCGAGCTTCGCGCACTGCGCGATCTCAGACGGGAATCCCCCACGCTCCTCCAAGGCTTGAAGTGCCTCCTCTTGGCGATAGAACTCTTTCGTGCGCGGCCGCAATCCTTGGGACATGGCACGTCGTCGTGTGGCACGGAACATGCGCCACGTCGCGTGTGGATGCGTGTGGCATGAGCGGCGCTCTGGGTTTGTGGACGAAGAAAGGGAGCCGGGAAGAAGGCCTGACGTCGGTTTCGTGGGAGAGTACTAGAAGCTACTACGAGTAGGTGGAGGCCATCGCTATTAGGTTGGAGGCCATCGCTACTACGGTAGTAACAATAAAGCTTTCTAGTAACTATAGAAGCACACCGTTCCCGTGGAATGTGAAGGATGTCGCTTTTTGTAGGTCTGCGTTATGGAGAATGCCTGCGAAACGGCTCATTGGCAGGTGCCTGAACTTTTCCCTTTCATGGCTTGGCTTCAGAGCGTGTTGAAAGGAGGTGCATCAAGGATTGAAAAAGAGGTCGGTGGCTTTCAATTTCCTTAGCCAACACTGCTTGAGCGTCTGCCAAAACATACTGTCAAGTAGAGGACATGCTTCCGCAAGGCTTTTGCATTGCAGGTGTTGGCCCAGTTCCTTAAAATCATGCCCGCTCTCTACTAAAATACTCACTAGTGTAGGGCGGGTGTCAAATCTTCCTTAAAACGATGTGGTTGAGGGATGCGGTGAGGTCGCACTCCTCCGTCCGATCCATCTGCTGTCTTGTACGACAAGGGAGGAAAGAAAGCATCAGCTCCTCCTCCCTGCCATGAATCAGAACGCAGTTCCAAGAAACTCTCCCCAAAAAACGGGATCCACGGTCACCCTGGCTCCATGGCGCTTCTCCTTCTTCACATACCAACAAAAAGGAGCACCTGGGTTCAACCTCGTCACCCAAACCAACCGCGGACCGCAATGGCCCTGGCGCCCGGCGCGCCCTGGCGCGCCCGAGCGACTCCATGCGACCCAAGACGCCCTGGCGACCGCTGAGGCCCGTAAGCCTCCGCAACTGCTTCTCCAGAAGCAGTTCCCGGCGGTAGCTCGCGGGGTCTGGCATGGCACCATGCTGAATCGCTGGCAACCCTCCAGAGTTACGGCGGTAGCTCGCGTCAAGCGATTTCATGTTTTTATTTGTTTTGAGTGCGATGTGTGTGTGTGTGTTTCCATCATGCTTTTTAACATTAGTCCGCTTGGCAGGCTCACATGTGATAGCTATACAGTAATACTGTACAGGGACTTGTGGTATTTGGTCCATTTTGGCCCTATTATCCTATTAGGCTACTGCAGGATCCAACAGTGGTTGGAATCTCACGAGATAGTCGCTCGGCGCAGGATACGACTAGTTCACATGTGTTTCTTATGCTCCTCAGGTGATTTGCGATGATTTAAGTTGGACCAAGTCACCTCCTCTCCTGAGGTCCTGTAATTTATCAAGCATAGCAGCATATCCAATTGAATAGAGTCACACCTATCTGTCCTCAACTGATGCAATGTCATGGCCTGGCTTGGCCTATATGTCTCACACGTGTCTGTCCATGTTTCTCCATGTTTCTTGATGCTTCCGGGATAGCCTTCCAATGGCTGCCACAAGTCTTCTGAGTCCGCTGCGTGTCAGTTATTGTAAAGGGACATTCACCAGATCCAAAAGCCCTGGAGCTTTTCAGAATCGGAGCTTACCAGGGGCCCTCAAAACCATGAAAAATAGCAGTTTTCACATACCAAAACCAGTTTTTGTTGCTAGGGAAAACAAGGTTTTTGATGGTTTGTGGGGCCCCTGGTAGGTGCTAGGGGCGGCACAAGTCCTTCAACTTCACCGAAGCCATGAAGGGCAACACACCTGGTCCGTGCATGGCTTGTGCATCGCAAGCTTCTCGCGTCTGGAAAGCCGCTAAATCCACCACAGAGCGCGAATGGGTCAGGCGACAGAATGGGTCAGTGAAATCATGGGCGAATCTGTCGCAGATTCAAAGGAACTGGCATGGCAAGTCCGGAAACCGGGATAAGCCCACTCCCTACTTCATTACTAAGGCGTCTTTTTGTTCGTAGGACCTACAGTATGCGCGAATATTCGCGGCGTTAGTTGAAGTGGCATAAAAAACCTATCGCACTTGATTCCAAAGCAACCTGAATTTGGACCTTGTCCAGTTGGTTCTCTACCCTGTTCATCTCGCATTCGTTTGGGTTGGTGCCTCCCGGCAGAGTCAAAGCTTCATTCATAAGGAAATCAATATTACAATATATGCCACATCTGGTTAATCTGACCACATCATTTGGGCCCTCATTGAAAACATATCGATCCAAGCCAGCAAACGCACCAACGCGAGAAATGCACTTCATCTGTTTCGAGCCTGCCTGCACTGGGGATCAAGGTCTGTTTGTTGGGCTTATGACCTCGGCTTTCATACCGTTGAAACTGGGAAGCCAAACCTCTGGGAAGCCCGAGGTAGTGCCTCGTTTTCACCAAAGGTTTCCTGGTGAAAGAATCCCAGCAAAAGGACATGACTGAAGGCAAACTGGTCCAAGAGGCAATCCCTTTCAACTTCTGTTTCTTATCGCGTCACCTTTCAAAGTAATGCCTCGACACCTTAAAATCACACATTGCTCAATCTCCTGTCTATTCCACCAATGACGCTTCAGGCATATCCCGGGATCCGATGATGCCTAGGACCACATCGGCACTCTGCTGAGCCCCGCGGCACGCGGAAGCCAGCTTTGCCACCTGCTTACTCTCAGCGATGCCCGCAGAGACCTCCGCGGGTCACGGATGGTTTAGGTGGAAAAGAACATGCGGTAACCAACGTTGTGAAGTTATGTACACACATGTTCAAAGAGCCATGCTGTGCTATCTTGTACAGCTGTTTTGCCTTCTCTTCAACGTATATATATATATACTGTAAATGTGTGTTTCTTCTGTTCTTTTCTCACTAGGCCTTGGTGTGCTGCAGGTGTTGAATTTCCTAGCGTGCTTGAGAATGGACATGAGCTAACTGAACACCTCGTCTTGCTCATTGCAATCACGCTATCTCATGCTACGTATGCCAGGAGCTTCAGGGTCGGAGTAAAGACTAATGTCCAGAAGCAGCTGGCGCATAAGCAGGAAAAGCATGTAGTGTAGTCATTGATGGGATTGTGGCAAGAAAATGAGAGAAGTGTATTTGGGGGGTCACACACACAGAACATACCCACACGTCCTCTTTCCTTTCCCACCTTCAAATTTGCATTATCTACCCCCACATAATTTTGCTACTAGTAGCGATGCCGCGATGCCCTTGTTACTAATAGCGATGCCCTTTGTTCCTAGTAGCTTCTTGCTACTAGTCATGCCAGGAGCGCCCCCTTCATAGCTTGAAGCGCTCCGTTCGTCGTTTCCGTGCCGATGTCACGGCGAGAACAAGGATTCCTCCGCCACCGACTGCGGCCCCAGCGGTGAAGCCTGCGGCCGGGGGACTGAGGGCAGGGCGGTTTTGGGCGTGAAGGGGAAAGGACTGAACCGGCCGCGCGAAGGCGTGGCGGTGTTTTTGGGTGCCAGCTCCATTGACATTCTTCTTGCCCTTCTTTAGGTGATGGCCCTGGTTTGTTTGGCTTGAACTGGAGAGTGCTGTTCCCAGCAAGTGTCTGAGTAGCTACATACACCATCCAATCCTCCGCCCTTCAAAACTGTTGTATATATATATATATTGTTGTATCATATCACATTCTACAGGCCATCTTGCACAACCCTCCAGGTAGCTCTAGAAGCTGTTGAAACTAGTTTCACAATGCTCTTGCTTTCAAAGCTTCACCCGGCCGCCACCAAGCAGCACCGTGCCCCGAACGTCGGATCTCTTCCACCGGGTGGACGAAAACGCGTACGCCGCGTACCCGTCGCGGAACGCTCCGTCGGTCGGGGCCTGTCTCCGCGAAGATGTCATCCCGAAGTCGCTGAACGACATCAAGGGCCGCCAGCAAATGGGCATCCTCCGCGTCGCGCCGTGAGAGGTCGACCAACTCCGGTCGAGGCACGGTGCGGTCCGCACGGTGCTGAGCACGGTGCGGTCCGCAACGAGGTCTTTTTACGTGAAGGAACTGAAATGGCAGAGTGGATGTACTTAGGGATAATTCGACTCATAGATAGATTCATGACAGTGTCATCACTGGAGTTTGAGGGCATGGCTCGGGTGTCCGCCATGCAGCCATTTGGGCATACCTAGCTCGAAGTGGTTGCGGTGGTTGGCATGCAAGCGATTTTCATGTCGCCTTCCCCTCGAAGCCTTGAAGATGATGTGTTTTTCAGATTCTTCAGAAAGTGGTATTCCACAATGTTACAAGTACGTCCACAATATATGCATCCTGATTTGGACAAAGTCTGTCCAAACACTATATAATGTCTTTAACAGTTCATGTAACTTCATCTCCTCCATACCAAAAAACGCAAAGAAAGCACAGAGTTCTTGCCGCACGCACGCAGTTGAGCATACTTCAGCCGGCTATCTCTCCAAGTCCATCTTCGACTTAGGAAAACAACCACTCGGCGCACTGCAGCTGCTGCCAGCTGATCCAGGTCCAAAGATCCAGAAAGACGCTGTGCCACCTGCGAGCTGAGGGACACAACCATTACGCCCTCATCGACTCGGCTCCAAAGGGATCCTTAAGGATTCCCTGGTCCCTGGGCATACCAGAGTCTATCTGAGCTTTCAAATAGTGATCCGACCATGGACGACCCAGGTTCATTCGTCAGAAACACCTCACACGGATCAATGGCGATCCGGTTCGCACGGGGGCCGTGAAGAAGTTGTGGTTCGCTGGTTCGAAGAACTGGAGGACGACGGTCGGTTTTCGGGTTGGGTGGGCACTGAAGGTCTGATGGTTGCATGGCATCTGTACATTGTTGTAGTGATTTGTAAAATATGGCCAGTTCCAACGTGTACCATCAATTCTGACGCCCCTGAGGCTCTTCTCCTTGGCCCCAAAACTAATATTTACATACATCAACAACTGGCTACATCTGCTTAAGAACAAACGTCCACCAAAGCCAAACATTTCCATCGATCAACTCTTCGAACGCGGTGGCATACATGGTATGCCTCTGCGCCGCACCAACCACACTGGGTATGTTTGTATGTCTTCCAATGTCTTAAATGTTCAGAAGACTAGGCCACCTGCAACCACTAAGTTTGGATTAGTTGGTCTTACCATGTGGTTGGATGAATGGGGTCTTTCCCGACACATGCAAACCAAGCCCCTCACCCATGGTCACCGAGTCTTCGTTTCGACAACCGCTCCATGATCTACTTGACGGTGAGAAGTTCCAGTCAGCCAGTCAGACTGGACAACATGTGGGTCATGGCACTGGACACCCCTGGTTTTTCCCGCCAAACCTGAACAGAAAGAAAAAGCAAAAACGTATATATAATTATATACACAAAGTTGGTCAATCCACCATTCTTTTAAAGCTCCGGGTGCCGGTCCACAGGCAACTCGCTGCGACCTCCTCTGACAGGTCGAGGTAAACTTCGTCGATGGAAGCCATCTCGCACCTGGAGGGATCGAGGCGTCGAGGCGTCCGGTGCCGAGAACGGGGAAACGGGAACGGAACATACATTAATTAATTAATGTGTAAGATGTGTTAGCATAATGTAAAATCGTATATTTTAATACAATATATGTATATATATATATATATTGTCAAAGGAGTCGCATGTCGCATGTTCCGATTCACTCGTCTCTCAGGAAGTTCGACCGCCGCCATTTCACTGTCAGGTGGGAGGGCAGGGTGGTTCTTGAGCCATCTCGTGGGTGTGGATCACCCCTTCGTTGCAGGGCGACGTTGAGCCGGTTGGAAGAAAGGAGCTGCGGATAAGGTTGGGCACAGGGTGCTGGTGTTTTGATAGGATCAGGGATCCTGGACCTTGCGCGTTGAGGAATTCATACATTGGTTGGTTGGTCCCCCTTGGATTGATCGACCACCACCGCCAGTCTCCAACACCAGTTGCAAACCCGGGGGGTTTGTAATTGGTAGCGGAGCTACCTGGTTGGTCAAGACAGGGAGGAAATCTTCGATCTTGCATCACTTTGGGTCAGCAAAACTTCTCAAGTGTTCCGGGACATCAACAAATCTTGCAAAACGGACATTGACAGCTTGACTTAGGACTGGACAGCGGTGCTGCGTGAACATTGTACTACAATTCACTTGGCTTAGAGCTTGACAGTCGTGTTGAGTTGGTTGCAAGTCGGTTGATTGGACATTGGAAAATCTGCGTGCATTGTCAACGACATTGTACATTGCTGCTTGGTTGAGTTGCTACATTGTACATTGGTGCTTGAGTCAGTTGATACATTGTACGTTGAGAAGCAGAAGTTGCATAGGAATCAGGCACAGTGCCAGAAGGTGCCAGTTCCACAACGCTCGAAACAGGTGGCCAAGGGACACAGTTGTCGACATTGATCCCGACCTTCGATCCTGCCACCGATAACGTCGAGCAGTGGGCTCAGAAGATTGAGCTCTTGACACATGTTTGGCCGGAAGGCAAACTGAATGAGTTGGCCACTAGAATCATTTTGAGCACGAAAGGATCTGCCTTCGGAAAACTCCAATTGCGTCAGAAAGAACTGTTGGTTGGAACGAAAGAAGGCATTGAGAAGATCGTGCAGATCGTCGGTGGCCAGTTCGGTCGAGTGAACCTCGAGCAGAAGTTCGGCCTTGTGGAGAAAGCATTGTTCCGTTGTGTGCAAAAGCCAGATGAAACCTCCGATTCTTTCCTGGCACGCTGTGAAGTGGTTTGGACGGAGCTTCATCAAAAGAAGGTGAAACTGGAAGAGGTCCAAGCTTATATCATCCTCAGAGGCAGCCGCCTTGGATCTGAGGATAAGAAGCGTGTCTTGGTTGAATCAGGAGTTGAAAAGCCAGGATCAGAACTGGAAATGTCGAGAGTGGCCGCCGCCATTCGAATGTTGGGGTCTTCGTTTTTCCAGGAGTTCACAGCTGGAAAGAAAGAAAAGTCAATGAGGACTTACGACCACCATGCATTCGGGGCGGAGGAAGTCGAGGAAGCAGGAGAAGAAGGACCTTGGGAGGAGGACCAATTTGATGAAGAGGCATTGGAAACGCTAGCAGCGTTCGATGAAGACGCCTCCCTTGTGTTGCAATTCGAAGGAGCGCTCCTCGACACCATCCAGGAAGACCAGGACCTCTCAGCCTTTTATGTGTCGTACCAAGATGCCCGAAGACGCCTCTTGGAAAAATCCAAGGCGAGAGGATTCTGGCCTGTCAAAGGTAACAAAGGTACCCGAAAGGGAAAAGGCAAGGGTTTCAAAGGTCGTTCAAAAGGACTTGCTCACCGCATAGCAAATTCGGCTTGTCGGTTGTGCGGCCAGACCGGCCATTGGAAAGCAGAATGCCCTCAGAGGAAGACAGGGGCATCAGGATCTGATTCAGGACAAGTCCCCACGTCGGTTGTCATTGATTTGGAAACCTCGCTTTTCGATATCCCTGAAGCCAATCCCGAGCCTTTGAACAGTCATCAAGAGTGTTTTGTGAGTTTTGACATTCCAAATCCATGTTTTCGTGAGAAGTTGAAAACCCGACTCATGTGCATCCCGGCGCTCAGGAAGAAGCTCGCTCAGCCGGCCATTTTGGTCCCGAGCCGTGAGCCTGTGAAGCCTAGTCCACCGGTTACCGAATGGTCAGCAGACTCCGAAGTGAGTTGTTTTGCATCGACCGGCGCAGTAGGAGTCGTTGATTTGGGGGCATCTCAAACAGTCATTGGAAGTCAACAAGTCCCCGAACTTTTGGCTAATATACCACAGCATATTAGAAAGCAAGTAAAGAAAACACAATGCAACTTGACATTTCGCTTCGGAAACCATCAAACGCTGTCCAGCTCGGTTGCATTGATTTTTCCCGTGCACACCACATGGTTCAGGGTCGCCATAGTCCCAGGCAAAACGCCTTTTCTATTGTCCAACGCATTTTTGCGAACCATCCAAGCAGTGATAGATACCGAACAAGGTACTCTCTGGAGTAAGTATTTGGGGAATTTCTTAGAAACCACCAAATCCTCATCAGGACTCATGCTGCTTGATTTGAATCAACTTTGGACACATGAGGTTGCCCTGTGCCAAGAACGTGTGCCTGAGCCTAGGTCCAATATGACCCCGAGCTCAAACCGAGAGAACACTCCCGAGAAGCCAAAACAGCTGCAGGCAGTCCATCAGCCATCAAGTCAGACAGAGTCTCATCCATGTAGGTCTCGAGGAAGTGTGCGACAACTCATCAACCAAATCGAACAAAAGAATATCAATGGTTCGCCGCGTCAGCCATCAGTGCGATCTCAAACTCAAAGTCCATCTCAGCGCCAGCCAAGCGATCATGTCCTCCTTGAGCCAGAAGTTGAACTCATACATCCAAGGGGTAAAGAAGGAGGACGAGAAGGAAGAAATCCTGCAAATCGAGCAGATGACTCTTCCACAGCTCCAAGAGCTCAAGATCTCGTTCGGCAAAGCGAAGCTGGGTCAGTCGTACGAACAGGCATTTCGCGACCAATCTTGGACGAAGTGGTTCATCCAGACATACGAAACAAGCTCAAAGCCGGAGCATCGCAAGTTCATCCGATTCGTCACGCTGAAGCTGGAAGAACCAATGCCAAGTGCATCGAAAGCTCGTCCAATCCGCACCAAGATGGAGAGTCACCTCTTGAGCCCTTCTGCACAAGAGACGGGAAATGCTCCGGCAGTGACCTCGGAGGAAATGGAAGATCCATGGGAGATTGCGGAGGACGATTACGTCATGAAGTTGTACGGCCGCCAGCAAGAGACGGACCAGCGTCTGAATCGCATCGAAAATGCTCTGATGGCCATCATGAAGCACCTCGAGGGTCAGACACCACAACCCTCAGAAGGTCCGCAGACCTGGGTCCAAGTCAAGCAGGAACCACAGTGAGCTCAGAGATTGAACACATTTGTAACTTGAGCGAAATGAATCAAAAGAGTAATCAGGAAGCTTTTGCATTTGACTTCCAAAAGGACCATGAACAAACCTACAATAGAGTATGCCAGTATTGGACTCAGAAATTTCGCTCGGAAATCCAAACCGTCCTGAAAGTAGTCAAACCAAGGCACCAACGATCATTTCTGTTTGAAGTCATGTGTTCAAAAGAGAGTGAGCTCACCCGTCAAAGCCTGCAACAAGGACTGACCACCAAAAGATTCGGGTATGCCGAGGGAGATCTAAGTACAGCAACAGGTCGTCGCAACCTCTTTTGTCATCTGGTTCGAGACAAACCCAAACATGTGTGGATAAGTCCTACCTGTGGACCATGGTGCCGATGGTCAACCCTGAATATGAGCAAGAGTGATGAGCTTTGTTCGGCCATTTTGCAGAAGCGAAAAGACCATGTTTGGCAAATTGCTCTAGCAATTGTACTATGTGAATATCAAGTTCAACAGTCTCAGCACTTCCATTGTGAACAACCATCAGGGTCCCATATGCTGAACATGCCATGTTTCCAGCCGATTCTGCAAATGACAAAGCCATGCACTTTTGACCTGTGCCGAGTGGGAAACCTGCGCCTACCATCGACCGGAATTCCAATTCGGAAGAGATTGTGTGTTTGCACCACTTCAGAATCCCTTCAACTGGCTTTGAACCATCGTCATTGTAAAAGGGATCATGAACATCATCCCATCGCAGGTTCCGTGAATGTACAGGGTCAATCAATGTCAGTCTCAAGCTTCACTGAATTGTACCCTCGGAAGTTCGCACGACAGATAGTACAAAGTCTTCGAAAAGAAGGGTCAGGACCTTGGGGAGTTTTTGCCGAAGATGAAGAGCATCCCACAAAACGTCGAAGACTCGATCATAAAAGCCGACCATCAGAAATTCGTCTCCTCACCGAAGATCCGTCTTGGGATGACATCATGAAAGTCGCAGATGAAACTGCTCCAAGAGTGGGCATCAAGGTCCTCTCCGATGGACCTCTTGTGCAGGCGATTCAGAGAAAACATCCAAATCATCGCATCAATCACCTGGTCCTCTGTCGTGGCATGGATAGAATGGTAGGTCCTCATGTCAGGTTAGAGCAAGGTCAAGCACCCCTCCGAAAATTCATTTGCATTCGTCGCAAGTTCGAAAGTGTCGAAGCAGAGGACCTGTGGGAAGCATGGGAACGCTTCTCCGCTCGACAAATGAGAAGACCATGCACGCCTGCCAGGTGTGGCCTCACCATTTTTGCTAGAGCCCTGCCATCCGAGGAAGCACCAGCTTCAGACGGTCAGAAGCGAAAAGATCACCCGGGTGATCACATGGAAGAGGAACCAAAAGGCAAGGCGCCCCGAACTTTCGATCTAGAAAAAGCCGAGCCAAATCCAAAAGATCAAGACACCGACAGACAACTTCGCGAAGTAGTCGACCTGGTCTCAGAGAAACATGGTCCCAAGATGCTGGCATTAACCCCAGAAGAAAGAAGCTGGATACTCAAAATCCACAAAAATATGGGTCACCCGGGGGTAGACAAGTTGAAGCTTTTCTGTCAACAAATGGGTTGTGAAGAACATGTGATCAAGGCCATTGAAGACCTCCGTTGTTCGACATGCCTTGAACTAAAAGGACCCGATATTGCCAAACCCAGCACAATTCATGAGCAAGTCGATTTTGGAGACCTCATCAGCATGGGTGGCATCAAGTGGACCAACAAAACAGGAAAACAACTCTTCTTTTACCATTTTGTCGATCAGAGCACGACCTTCCATGTGGCACATGTGAGCATCAGCCATGGCACGCAAGATGCCATTCACGCTCTGATGCATGGTTGGATCAAATGGGCAGGACCCCCAGGAACTCTCCTGGTGGATGCCGGTAGTGAGTTCTGCACGGAGTCTTTTCATGCCTTCCTTCAAGAGCATGACATTAAGTTGAGAATGATCGCTCCCGAAGCCCATTGGCAGAACTCTCGAGTAGAAAGACATGGAGGTATCCTACAACACATGCTCGATAAAATGGACCATGAGAAAAGCATCAACACAGGAGAAGAACTAGAAACAGCGCTGCATTCCGCAACTCAAACCAAGAATAAATGGTCGAGACATCGAGGCTTTCCACCTGAAGTTCTAGTGTTTGGGAAGATGAGTAAATGTCCCGCATCCATCAGCAGTGAACCATCTCAGGCATCACATTTGAAAGCCCTGCAGGAGACAGCCGAAGGCATTCGATTCCGTGAACACCTTGCAGCTCGAGAAAGAGCCCGAAAAGCTTTCAGTGAGGTCGACAACTCCCAAGCTCTTCGGAGGGCACTTGTTCAAAGGTCTCGACCACAAAGAACAGTGTACCATCCCGGGGATTGGATGATGGCATGGCGGAAAGACTCACAATGGTTTGGACCCCTCAAGGTCGTATTGCAAGAAGACAAGAATGTAATTTGGGCTGTACTGGGAAATCGTTTGTTTCGCATTGCACCCGAACATGCCAGACCATTGTCAGCCATGGAAGAACTAAGACATCAAAGCCTGATTCGGGACACCAACATGGACAAAACACTAGAAAACATTCGAGCTGGAAATACTCGTTTCGAAGAAATACCAAGAGGAACTCCAGAGACACTGCCTGTGAGTCCAGAAGAGCATTCGTCCAGAAACAGTGAACCCCCGTCCAATGACCAACCTGATCAAGAACCAGATCTCCCAGGAGAAAACGATCCATCGTTTCCTGGTACCGAAAACGAATATACCCCAACTGTTCCGGATGAGGAAACGCAGATGGAAGCACCAGAAAATATTCCGGTCCCCGAAGACGATGATGAACTCTGGTGTGAAAAGTTCAATCTTCAAGAAGATGAAATGTGGAAATTCGAAGTCGAAATCAGCCGAGAAGAGATCGACCAGTTTCGGAATTCACCGTCAGGATTCGAACATGCCTTCATTGTGTCCGCCGCAAAGAAGCAGAAAACCGAAGTCAAGATTTCAAATCTAACCAAAGATGAACGAAAGCTATTCGAAGAAGCAAAAAGCAAAGAAATCCAGAGTTGGCTGGACACTAACACAGTATGTAAAATCCTCCGTCATCAAATTCCGACAGAAAACATTCTTCGTTGCCGCTGGATCCTAACATGGAAAGACGCAGAAACGAATTCACATCTAGGAGCAGACACCAAAAAGTCTAGTTCAAGAAAAGCAAAGGCCAGGCTAGTCATCCTTGGATATCAAGATCCCAGCCTGGAACACCTAGATCGTGACTCGCCCACACTCTCCAAATTGAGTAGAAATCTGCTGTTACAAATGAGTGTTTCCATGAGGTGGACCATTGGCAGCTTCGATGTGAAAACTGCTTTCCTTCGGGGAAGTGTGGATGAAACCCGTGTCATAGGACTCGAACCGCCAGAGGAACTTCGTCAAAAGCTTGGGTTGCGACCCAATGAGGTTTGCCGTCTCCTCAAAGGTGCCTACGGCCTCGTGAATGCCCCACTGTTGTGGTACAAAGAGTTATCTAGGGCCCTAGAAGAACTGGGATTCACAGTGTCACCGTTCGACCCATGTTGCTTCATTTTGTATGCAGAAGACAACTCGCCACAAGGTTTTATCGGAATACATGTAGATGATGGCTTGTTTGCAGGAAACGAAGAGTTTCATCGACGAATCAATCTTCTCGAAAGCAAATACCCTTTTGGAAGTAGAAAAGAAAAAGATTTCGTATTCACAGGTCTCCATATTCACCAAAAGGAAGATTTCTCCATCAGGGTGGATCAAACACAGTATGTCAAAGACATTAATCACATCAGCATTCCAAAGGAAAGGAGAAGCATGCCCGATGACCCAATCACCGAAGAAGAAAGACAGAAACTCCGGGGCATCATCGGTTCATTACAATATGCATCAGTAAATACGAGACCAGATCTTGGAAGTCGCCTGAGCCATCTCCAAAGTCGAATAAACTGCGGTCAGGTTAAAGATTTGATCGAAGCCAATAAATTGTTGCACGATGCCAAAGTCCACTCCCAAGTGGCAATTCGATACCAATACATCCCTCTAAAAGACATAAGATTCGTAGCATTCTCCGATGCTTCTTTTGCGTCTGAGAAAAATCTCTCGGCCCATCAGGGCATGATGATTATGACTGCACACCAGAACATCGGCAAGAACTTCAAAAGTGCAGTAAACCCGATAATGTGGTCATCAAAGAAAATCCAAAAGGTAGCAGTAAGTACACTCTCAGCTGAGGCCATGGCACTTGCAGGAACGGTAGACCTCCTTGCTTGGTGCCGTTTGTACTGGGGATGGTTGCTTGATTGTTCATGCCAATGGAGATTAGGTGATAAGACACTCCTCAAGCTTCCCCCTGCGTTCTCTGCCTTAAAGGACGAAGGTGACCTCGAAGATCCAAATGCAACACTGACAGACAACCTGATGAAATTGCAAAAGATAGGAAAACCAGATTCTTTGATTGCAACAGATTGTAAAAGCTTGTACGATCTAATCAGTCGTACAGCACCACCAGCATGTCAAGAATACAGAACATTGTTGCAGGCACGACTGATTCGAGAACATTTGGCAACAGGAGTATCCGTTAGATGGGTACCCTCCAACGCTCAGATTGCTGACAGCCTCACGAAAATCATGGACAACACCAATCTTAGAGAAGTCCTCAATATCGGAAGATATCAACTCAAAGACGAAGAGGAGCTACTCAAGCACCGCTCCGACCGCCGATCGAGATTGGCATGGATCCGTAGCCACCAATCCCAACTAGCTGCTCCAGAGCTCACGAAAGTCTCTGAAAAAGGGAAAAGCCAAGACGTCCCTGACAGAGACCAATCCTGCTCTCCCATTAAAAAGCCTTGAGAGAGTAATTAAAACCAAAGTGCAAGAAAGGTGTTTCAAAACCGGTAAAGAGAAGACTAAGTTGAGAAGACAATGTCCCACATTGTTCAAGGGAAACTTGGTAGTCCGTTTTTGCTTCAATGGCATTCTTGAGAAAGCACGATCGATATCTTGAGGAAAGACTGGCCCCAGTCTGAATAAGATGTAAAGCCAAAGGAACATGCTTGACAAACAAAAGAATAGAATGCATGTCAAAGGAGTCGCATGTCGCATGTTCCGATTCACTCGTCTCTCAGGAAGTTCGACCGCCGCCATTTCACTGTCAGGTGGGAGGGCAGGGTGGTTCTTGAGCCATCTCGTGGGTGTGGATCACCCCTTCGTTGCAGGGCGACGTTGAGCCGGTTGGAAGAAAGGAGCTGCGGATAAGGTTGGGCACAGGGTGCTGGTGTTTTGATAGGATCAGGGATCCTGGACCTTGCGTGTTGAGGAATTCATACATTGGTTGGTTGGTCCCCCTTGGATTGATCGACCACCACCGCCAGTCTCCAACACCAGTTGCAAACTCGGGGGGTTTGTAAATATATTATCGGCAATATATATATATATATTATAGGTATATAATATATATAACACTCTATGCAGGGCTCAGTGTTTTGCTTTGGGGCTACTATGGACTAAGTTGCTGGTTTTATGCACCAATCACTCACTGCTAGTGTTTGGGGTATTTTCATCTGAGGTAGTTTCTATAACGTTTCAGGGCTACCTTCTGTTGAATAAAAATGGAAACATCCTAGTGGCACCTAGCATAGCTGTAATTATGAGTCATGTCATGAGTCATGAGTATTCCAAGAAAGGGTTCATTGTGTCATGAATCATGATGAATTGGATGAAGCTTCTGGTTGCGAAGGGTTTCGCGAAGTTCAGTCTTCCATGGACCTGGGATGACCTGGGTCTTCTTCCAAAAAATTATATAAGGGGATCTCTTATGGCATAGTTTTATGGAAGGTGTCACCAGTCACAAACGTACTGCGATGTGTGGGAACCCGAGCGACCGATGCCAGTCGCCATCCACACCTGCCCGCATGCTTCTGGACTACAGCAAAGACCTCCTCTGAGGCCTGACCTCAGTCCGAAGTGGATTCATGCTGTGTACACTGGTGAAGCAAACGATGTCAAGTCAAGTCCAACATACGTGTATTTGACACATCTGTAATTATGTTCTCTGGAGTACTTCATGCAGTTTCATGAAGTACATCAGTACTTTTTCATGAAGTACATCAGTACTTCCATGATCTTCCATGTACTTCCCCAAATAAATATGGGAAAACAATGACCCAACATGACCAAACTCTCTCCGGTGGCCCCGGGTCCTCCCGCGATATCTGCGCAAGCAGGCCTTCTGCGTTCGCCGGTCCGGCCTCAGACCGAGCGCGTTTTACACCGAGCGCGTTTTTTCGCGCTTTCGTCGGAGTGCATCAGCTGTAACTGAGCATCCCTCGTATGGATCTGAATGGACCATCTTTCGTGTCTGGCCATGTCTGGAGAAAAACAAATAAAAAAACATGAAGAAACAACACATTCACAGGTGGAGGCACGTGATCGTGAAAAAACAACGACCGAGTTTGATCATCCCAAACAAATGCCTTGTGCCCTAATCTGCGACTTCCGACGACCGCGTCCCCGGCGCCAGCGACATGTGCGACCCCTCGGAGATCTCCTGCGCAGGGCATGGCTCAGCGGGAAGGGACCAGGGCATGGTGCTATTGTTTAAATCTATCTAATTTACTCTATGGAGCCAATCGGAATCTTCTCAGAAGGTACGACTGGACCCTCCAAACCTACATGACAGTGTCTCCAATCACCTTCTGAGATGATAGTAGAGGATCCATGTATAATGATCTGTTGTATACCTATCCACTATGATCCGCTCGTTCCTTACCGAGTACCCTGCATGGAAACACTATGTCGTCAAATGACGTGATATATAATCAGAAAGGGGATGAACAGTGTATAATTGAAATGGCCACAAGGAAAGGTTGAGGTGCATCCAGGCATCCAACAAGATTGGACCCCATTCTGAGAAGAGTGTCTCTCATCGACAAAATCAATCCAAATGAAAACAAGCTGGAATGCCCCCTAAAGAACGAAACACCTGGTAACCATGCATGGTAAGTATCATAGTTGGTACCCTTCGTTCCTCTTTTGCAGCACCACTGACTTACAGTGTATGTATATACATGACACCCACAGAACACCATGGAATGACACCGCCGTCACGGTCTGGCGGAAGGGGAAAGAGACCGATGACTGACCCACCGTTTTCGGCCACGGGAAAGTGACCTCTCCTCGGTGCCTTCACTGATGGTCTCCACATGCACCAGCACGATGTTGGGGCATGCTTTCTGCGCGTCGGCCGCGCGCATGCCGCGCCTCGGTGTAGCGTCACGGCGTTGCGCAGCGAAGTGGTGCATGTTGGGACATTCTTTGGAATTCCGGCGTGTGCACAGCCCTCAAGGCGAGACTCAAAGTGCGCGCATGCGCATGCGTCATACCACCACAGGCTGGTCTGAAAGTGGATATGGTCAGTGGTTTGACGGAAATCCACACCTTTTACTCAACATTGCCCGAAAGATACAACAAATGAAAGGGGAAGATCACCGAAGGGGAAGATCACTGCCAGTGTTGCTGCCGCTGCATGTCATGTGTGGAAACACCTGCAGAGCAGGCACGAAAACGACCAGATCGTCAAAACCGTCACCGTTTCCCAACATCAAACCGATGGAAGAACCGTCCGAGTGAGTGCTTGGAAAGGGCCCCCCCGGCTTGACGCCGGCCGCGCGAGCTGCATAGTTCACGGCGATCAAGCCATCCCACCTGGGAAAACATCGGAGTGTTTTTGCGTGCCGGCCAGCAGAATGCTGCGTGATGATTATTAATGGAATTCTAAACAAAGCCGGGAACATTCTGTATCACTATGATTGGATAATAATGGATAAGCGGATAAGAAACATGTCTATAACTGTCTAACCCAATCTCAGTTGGTGCGAACTTCCCGTTTCCGGCGTTTGAACATCAGCATGTTCCAACTCGGCCTGCCAGAGGTGATGGATGTGAACCGAGCTTACCAAACATGGCAAAACGCTGTCATGTTCACGACGAGTTTTTCTGTTTTTGGATTGTTTTTTCTTTTTTTTCATCAGCCTAGGCTAGCCGTCCAGGACGAAAAACAGGACGGCTTAACCCAAGTCCTTTCATCATCACTCGGAGCATAGCAATCAATACTTATGGGATGATGGTCTGAAATTGACCTCAAATGACAATGGGTTCTAGCATGTTATAGCCATCTGTGGCCAATGTTCACTTCTAATTCATGTTTCACCACCGATCTTCCCGGTCCTGCCGCCATTGAACTGCTGGGACTTCCGGCTGCTGAACCGCGGCCGGCGGGGAGTCCCTGGAGTCAACGAGTTGACGCATTGGGCTGTGGTCTCATCCCATGTATCTTCGACCAAGAGGGTGAGTCAACAATGGCTTGGCTCAGTTGGTCTGCTTTGTGGTTTTGACCCATGGCCCATCCCACAAGATTGGGATCGAACTTCATTAAAACGCTTTTAAACAACGGCCACAATGCCACCCATGTCTTGGGGGCTTTGAAGTGTCCATATCACTACCCATCTCTTCACTTCGACCATCTTCCACCTCTGGCTTCCACTAACCCATTTCACGTCCGCAGATCTTCCTGGAGGTCCAGGGTGGCCGGCCCATGCCCAAGCGGCGCTGCTCGACCTCGGTGTCGTTCGTCCAGGACATCGTGCGGTCACGGTGCCGCAGCTGGAACCAGCGAGTAGGCTCGAACCAGTGTGGGTAGAAGACACGAACTATACTGTACTGACATATATATATAAATATAAATACATGCATGGCGCATGTCTGACCTTACAAGTAAATGGGTGCTTCTGGAATTTCAAAGAAACACACCAGGCGGGTTACATCATGTAAAGTTAAAACATGAGCATGCAATCAAAACCTGACCAGTCTGACAACCTAGAAACTGCTTGACAATTTTGAAAATTCCCGGGTCGTACAACTTTCATGGTTGTTTACTCTGTTTCGGGCACTAGTTGATTGTCATCGCCTGCACATAGAAGCAGTCCAGATCCAGGTGTGCAATGACACGAGTCCTATGTCGACGATGGTCGATTCGTCAAACGAGACATTCGAAGGCGGTTCTGACTCCACAAAGTTCCCCTGAAAAAAGAATGTTCACCTTTTGCCAACTGTTTTTATTTTTTGTGGGGAAACCAATCCCCAAAAAGGTTTAAAGGTTTTGCAGTGACTGGGGAGGTTCTGGATTTCCTACAGGGTGTGAAGAAGCTCTGGCTGCCACGCGTGGGTTTTGAACGCACGTCAATGGCTGAACAGTTGCTGTTGGCAATGCATCAGTTGAAGTGGAAAGTTTGGGAAGCATTAGATATGTAAAATATTGATAAATATTGTACAGTCAAATCATGTAAAATCAATGCCATAAGAGGCGGCATCCCTCAAAAGGTTGCAACACTCAAAACGCCCTCCGTCCAACAAACATGAACCAAATGAAGCAACATGAAGCAACATATTCTACCCCAATGTGCAAAAACACTTAGTAGTTCCAGTCTGGTTCCAGTCGGCTCGAGTGGGCTTCTTCAAACAAAAAAGGGCATCCAATCCGTCGCCCCCCGCCTTGCATTCGGCATCTTGGAAGCCCATGGTGCATTCAAAGAAGACCAGAAAATGGCTACAGTATCCTTTCTGTGCTTTTTTTGTGGTGATGATCTTTCAGTCGAACACTTATCTATGACAAACATGTGCGTCGTATGATTCGTATGTACGTTGGTTATTTGTTCAATTTGGTGCAACGGTGCAACGGTGCAAAAATGGCGTGGAAATCACCTCGGAAATTCGGAGACGTGCGCCAGAACAGTGGACTCCGTGGATGAAGGTGGTGCCGTTGAACGACTTCACTTCAGGAACAAAAGAGTAAACAACAAACAGAACTGCATACGACTTCAGCCGACAGTGAATATGCTTAGCCATGATTAGCCAAATATACCAGAACTTTGTAGTAGTATCTGAAGACTTCAGCCGACTGAACACATCTTCATGTTGTTCTGTGATGCTCTGTGTCTCCAAAGGAACAGGTTCTGTTCAGCCCGACGCGTCGTGGCGGCCTTCACGACTTTCATGTTGACCCATGGAGTTCCACTGGTGGAAGAACTTGACGCTCGAAGGTAACACACACACACATCGCACAATCAAAAAAAATGAAAGAAAGGAACGGTTCCATGTGTAATTATTTGGTCCACCTCAGAATAAAGGTCGATATAGTTCTATGATGGTTCCCTCTGATGCTCTCCCTTGGAGATCCGCTTTCATGGAGGGCCTCAAGGGCCCGTGCTGATCGGGTCTCGGCGGGTCGGCTGGCGGGTCCCGGGTGTCGGCGATGAGTGGATGATGGGCGGCCAAATATCAACAACTGGGATCAACGGATGGCGAGTCTAGGGCCGGTTTAAGAGGCTCTATGTTGACCAATATGGAAAAACCATATGTTGACCAACGATGAATCAGGATGAATTTGTTTTCTGTTGGACCACATTCCGGATCACCTAAGGAAACTGTTTGTGCAAAAACACAGTGCTTTCAGCCAGATTTCGATCACCTGAGCTCAAGGCTCTTGGGTGGGAAAAAATATGGACACATGATACACATGTAATCCAATGCGATCCAAACAAACGCGAAGGGTTCTGTGCTTGAAGCTATGCACTGGCGCTGACCGGTCGGAGACACCGAACACCGTTCGGATCCTTCCAGTCCGACGGGCAGCGCAGGATCGGCAGCTGAAAGTACTGACTAACAAAACTACTAAACCCAGACACGACCCATGGGACTGCCATATGCCGATCAGGCCAGGGGTGGCATATATGGCAGTCCCATGGAGTGTTTGGGAAAAGTACAGGACTCAGGACCTCTAATATCAAGCATCCTAGATCCATGGCGATTTTTCAAGACATGTCGACGTTCGCATCCAAGGAACACCGCAGGGCCAGTTCTCGACTCCTCCAGATAGACCACCTCGGCAGAGATGATGAAGTCATAACACAGGTCCTGGAAGGCAGAACAACGAGCGTTCGGTCTCGACGTTCAGGTCCTGGTTTGTTCTGTGGTTCTGGATGGTTCTGGTGATCTAGTTGGCACGACATGTCTTGTTGGCCCCAACTGTCCATTCTTCAACCTTGCCAATTATCACCCGTCGTCCGCAACACATCTTTTGGAGCGCTTCGGACTCGTGTCCGCTCCAATGTCGCGCGGATCTCCGAGCTCGGAGATCCGCTGGAGTGGTACTCAGGCGGGGATGTCCCAGTTGTAGAGCTTCCCAATCACAAAGGCCACAATGGTGCCAGCCTCAACACACAGACCTGTGCCATGCCTGTGCAGACTCTCAACCTGATGCCTGTGCGCTAACGTGGTACATGGTGGTACTACCAGTTTTTTGCATGCATTGCGAGTTCACCGACATTTCTGGGCCCTGGGGGAATCATTTCTTTCCGAATTTCTGTGCTGGCAACTCATCTGCTGCAAGGTCGGCACTCTTCAACACCTTTACAAATTCTTTCTAATGTATTACTGTATATTATTACTTTAACTTCATGCAGCTTCAATCAGGCATGTGCACGGCTTTGCAACCTGACATGTGTAGAAACCCGCAAAGCTCAGGTGAGAATTGATGGAGTTGTACACGTAGCTAGGCGATACAAGTAGCCCATGACATGCGCGCGCATGTCATGCCCAAGAGCACATCTAGCTGCTCATGTAGCCCACTGTATGCAAGTGCCCCACTTAAATGTCCTTTCTTCATCTTTACTCAGAAAAAAGAAATCTCCGACCCTTGGGAACAACTCATCTAGCTGCTCATGACTGTTCGGTGACCCGTCTAGTAGAAGTCCGCACAGTTTCCTGACTGGGGATCGGGTCACCAGGGCTCAAGGACAATCCATTGGTCTATCAGTTGATGCATCAAAACAACCTAGCATCCACCTGGTAGAAGTCAATCTGTCAACTCTTGCGGGTTCCACTCTTGGTTTGGGGATGGGAGATTTCTATGGATTCTTTCAATGGATTTCTCTGGTATTCCCGTTGAAAGACGAAACGTACGGCAGGGCGGAGCGCCGAAGCTACGAACGGGGCTCCTGGCCTTACTATTTGGGTCCCACTTCCATGTGCACCCCCACACCACGTCCATGTGCAAGCGTCCACTGACAGCAAGCTGTAGCCCAGGTCGCAGGTGGGCACTGTCCCGGCAATGTTGACCTGGCGACCAGAAGACCTTCCATGTACTCTCGCTGGAACTAACATGGAAGTGAAACAACCTCTGCTTGTAGAGGACATGCTCTTCCAAGAGGCCATTTCCACTTTCGTGTTGGTTCCAGGGAGAGTACCACCCAAGTTCACCTGCTAATGAAGAACAACATCAGGTAGCAAGACGGTCATGACAAACGAAAGCAGGCCTTTTCACCAAACGGCCTACGACCTGCAGCCCCTCAGTCTTTATGTCGCTTTGTGTTTCTATCCGCTGCAAGATGCTGAAAGCCTAAAAAAACAAAGGATTGGAAAGAATTGGACAGGGTCTTGCATCTACTCCCAAATGAAAACCCAAGACAACTAGCCTTTGGTTTAATATGCAAAGAGAGGAATCCAATTGAACTCCTCAGAACAAGACTGTTGGCAAGCCGCTGCAGCATTCTCCGGGAAGTGGGAGTGACAAGCAAGGTTTGGGGACCAGTGCAGGAACAAACTGCTGGACTATTTGGGACGCTCATGAGTATATTCCTTGTAGTTCTTTAGTCTGTCGTTTTTTACGACAAACAAACCAACTGCTCACAAATTTGTTGATTATGATCTTTGTTTGTTTCCAAACCGTTTACATGAACAGCCATGCAGCGCCAGTACCAGCGGCAACCAACATACTGCCCTTTGAGAAAACCAAGATTTAACCGAACCATGATTTGACCCAGATTTAACAAAGGATTCAAGGCGGGGTGCTCTTCAAGACGAGAAAGTACAACATGGTGCAAAGGAGGACAGACGACTCAAACGGCAAACAAAAACATCATACAAATTCATACAACATCCAAGGTCACCCAGGCCTCTCATGCCTACATCATGCATCCTCTTGGCAAAACAAAAGGCCAGGTAACCCTGATATCGCCAAGGTCGACCTGGCCAGGTGGGCCGACATCGACCTGGCCGGATGTCCGACACGTCCGACACAGACCGGCTCCGTCCGGGGAGCCCCAGCCGGCTCCGTCTCGCACAGGATCGCCAGCCGCTCCATGGCCAAGCTCATCACCTGCCGGTGCGAGCTGCCCGCAATCGACGGACAGCCCGCCCCGTGAGGTTTTTCGGGTGAACATCAACAGCCAGTGGAGCTGACTTTCGGGGGCGCTGATTTGATGTTTTTTGTGGTGTCTTTGGCTCATGTGCGGCATGTGCGGCAACCAACAAAAACCATCAAAACTACCATCGAAAGCGATACACAATCTTAGATTATGATGCTCGATTGCTTTTCATACCGTGACTCATCGGACCATGATGTCCGGACTTGGACATGGCTGGTTCATCTGGTGCCACGGAACCAGAACTTCAGGACTTGGATTTGAAGAAATGGAAACCAGGTGGCGGATGAAGAAACCGGTCACCCAGGGGGGAGTACCGAAAGCGAGTTCGACCATGTTCGACATGTCTTTGACATTGTACCTCATCAAACTTGTTGCCCCAAAGCCTTAAGCTGGAGAACACATTGAGAAAACCAGCATCGTGAGCCCACAAATGCTGGCGTAGGTGAACTCTCTGCAACTCCTGAACGTCCTTCACATCGGTCAACGTACCACGCGTACTACGGCAGTTGTCCTACCAAGGTATTCCTACCGTGCACCGTAATTAAAGTTATGCTCAGCAGCACCTCATAATTGGGCATCATGAAGCACTGTGACACAGCTTTTCGTGCGATTCTCTGGAAGTGTCATTGTGTCACGATTGCAAATCCGTATTCATCTTCTTGAGCTTAAAGCCTGACGTACCATTCGTTCCAGGTCCCTGTCGTAGTTGTTTGTCCAACTTGGGATTGATCTGCGCAATGGCGCAAGGCTACAGCCAGCGAAGCCAAAACCAGGCTGTTCGAAGGCTTCCGGCGACAGCCAGTTGCCAGCAAGAACATGCATTGATGCGCATTGAAAATAAGCAGGTCTAAAGTATAGCACGCGCGGATCTGTTTTGCATTCTGTTTTTGTTTGCGGCTCACTGTTCAAAAGGTTCAAAGTGGGTCCCACCAAGTCGACTGCCTTGTCAAGAACCCGCAGCACATCTTGGATCTGGTTCGGCTGGTGCTTGCTGGGAGGTAGCATCCAGAATTATGTCTGACTTGGCTGCTCAACAGCCACACCCCTGCCAAACAGTCTTTGGCGAAATGCCGGTTACGGTCCCTTTTTGTGAAAGCTTAGCTATCTTCTTCTCGCTCATGATGGAAAACATTGGAAAACACATTGCCTTACCCAAGTTCCCTGTCACGTTTCCACCGAACTTGCGAATGAACTCTCCACGGTGCCACCGAGCTATGTCGCCCCCGCCGTCGCCTGCTCACAGTCCTCGTCCTCCTTCTGAACCTGAGCGGAACGACATGGGTCAAAACCTCTCCGCCGTTTCACCACCTGCCAGAATCAACGGCCAAAAATCCTCTGGCACTGCTACGCCTTTGTATTTTGGCTCAGAACGAAGAATAGTATGCTGCCAGATTCTGCAATGCGCCTTGCACGAGTCATGAGTTCATCTCCAAAGCACAGAAAGCAATGGCTTAAATTATTGAAGCTCCAGGAGCCAGACCCCCAGAGAAACAGGCGCATTGAAAGAGGTGATTCTTAGCTGGTGCGTTTACCCCAAGTGTTCGTCGAACCTCTGGGTCTGCTAAACATCGTCCTGGGCCACACTGAAGATATCGAATGAAGTCATCGCCTATCGTAGGAGATTCCTCCAGCCGCAGCCTGTGTACACTCTAACTGTACATGGAAGTGGATGGCATGGTCCCGAAAGGAAGACTACTGAGTCCCAGTGTTATCGTTGAACATCGACCCTTTGAGCACCACGTTTTCACCTGTCGAAAAAGTCGCCAACTGTCAAACCATTGGATCGCCATCCAAACTCACCCCAAACACTAAACACTTAAATGCAATTGAATAATTGAAAGCAAGAGAACACCGTGGAAAACATACTGAAGCTACTAGGGGCTCCTGGCATCGCTACTAGGAGCGTAAGGACGCTACGATCGGGGCTCCTGGCCGTACTACTAGAAGCAAATAGCTACTAGTAACAAGAACCTAATAGAAGCTACTAAGTTACTACTTGCAACACCATGGACCCACGAATCCTTTGAAACCGTCCACGCTGCGCCGAGCGGCCGAGTTTCGCCACCGCGCCCGGCAGATGTTATTCGCTAAGAGGCCGAAGTTCTCGTTGGCCTCGCGCCGGACATGGGATGGTCTGGCAACAATCAGAGGTCTTAGAAGCAATCAGTGTGATGAAGAGGGTCCAAGGTCCAGGACTGAATTTGATCCGGATGTGAACTGCGTTCCAGAAATCTTCATTAACCTTTGTTCAGGACGGTCCTGGACCTGCTGGGATTAAGGATTGAACCCATATCTCGGGGAACATCATAACGCAAGTCGTGTGAGGTGGAACGGGGATCCTATCCGATGTCCCAGTCTTTGACTGTCCAAGCAGCTTTAAGCTTCGAGTGACTTGGTCTTCGTGGATGTCTCTCAAAAATGAGAATCCTCATGACCACGAACAATCAAGCCTATTGGGACTATTTGCTCTTTCCCCTATTCCAGGGTAACGAAGGGAGATCCCTTAAGTATGTATACATATATATATATATAGATGATTATTATATATGCATATAAATATAGCTAAGGCTATGTGCATATATATGTAATAGGGTGCATAAAATGGAAGCATGGGATTAACATACTCCCTCCCCTCCTGTTGGTTTCGTCCGCCTCAGGGCCTCCAATACTAAGCGCATTTCAAAAAAACACCTACTGTAGCCCAAAAAATTGAAAACTTTGCACTACCCACCCCAATTAGTTTCATCCACCGTCTTTTTTGGGGGGCAATTGCTGTTTCCAAGACTAACTGCCTTTCTTGCCTTTCTTTGGGGGCCAACCTCCACTTCCCAGACCAATTATATAGTTAGTATGGTTAATCCCTCATCCTATGGTTCCTGTGCACATACCTCAGACCTTGTTGACCTTGTTGACCTTTCATGTGGGGGGCGCATAGCTCCACTAATTAACCAAACTCCAAAAACTCAAAACTCCAACCACTGCACTCCTAATAATATGTTTGCTTGCTCTCTTTATAAGAATCTCATTGCTCTTGATCTGGCCACAGATCACCCCAAATCACCCAGAAATCCAAAGCCACAACCAAAAGATCCGTCATAAAATTATCTATAAATATTATAAAGTCCTACCAAAAAAGATACTTGTTCAAGCTCCCAAACGGGCACCCATAATCCCTCTATTCAAAACCCCCCCTCCAAATACTTTGGTCTCTCCCCGGCCTTTGGAAAACATTCTCCTAACTATAGTTCATTACTTGCCCAATTAATCAATTCACCACACCTGGGGGCCCCTCCTGTGTCCCCAGTTCTGTCGCCGGAAGCGGTTCGCCGATAGTTCTTCCATGTTCCTCTCCCCCTGAAAGCTGCCTTTGATCCATACCAGATCATCTGAAACATGATCGCCTAGGCGCCAAGTGCTGTTTTGTTCGTCAGGCGTCGGATGAAAGGCACGGACAGCAGAGTTCCATGGTGGGGAATTCCAAAAAAATTTTCCTTTGCAAACATGATGATCATTCTGGTGCAGGTCAAGTTCGAGCCGTCACTTCCTAATAGGATAAGCTGTTTGTCTTTTGGAAAGTGTTGATCGTTGGTACAAAAGTGTGACCCATCACTGACAGCCTAGATGTTGAATAGATCTGGAAAGCTTTGTCGTAATGCACAGCATCTCTGCAAACTGTTCGCCAGTCCCTGAGTCGCCTAGGGGGGAATGGTTCACCAAGACTTCCAGTCCCTTCAACAGCTGAAGTAAAGAAAGGGATTCGACCATTCTTATACACAAATCAACAGCACACCCGCGAAAACTTGTTGCACATTAAGACTACATAGCCAGGTCTGGCGGAAGTGATGTGTTCTCCATCCTTTCCTGCTACCATCCCCCACAAAATTTGAACTTCACTGAACAGGTCTGGCAGTTGACGTGGCGGTCGCTTCCATGGCGCCTGGCGGCGGTCCACCCAGCCCTTTCTCAATCCTTCGGACTGTGGGGAATGTGTATCGAGGGTGGTCCATACAGCGGTTTGTGGGGGTCTTAGAAGCCTGAGGTTTTCCAGAAAGTGATGCCGGCGATGCTGGCCTCAAATTTTAACATCGCCAGCAATTCCGCCTTGCAGCCACCGCTGCGCAGCCGACTCTGGGCCAGCGCTTTGAATATATTGCTGGATGTGTGTTTCTTAGAGGTGTCCCGAGGATTAGACCAAAATGTCTAATCCTCCGGGTTATCCGCGGAGCAAAAGCTCATCATGTCTGACTAACTAAGCAGCAACAACAACCACTGCTGCAGTAACAGCAACAACCTGAAACCGCTCATAAGTTCGTCTTCTCAGTTTATTCTTGCTCTTCCCAGTTGCTGTCACACCTAAGTTCAACGAGAGGATCACAACGGTGAAGGAATTCATCTGATTGTGGACACCGATGACCACGCCCACCACAATGAAGCTCATACCTCGCACCGGATCTTGACAGCTCCACCCAATTCCCTTGCTGCGTGTCATGGCAGTTTCATACTGAGTGGCCGGATACACAGCATCCCAGCAGCGGTGGGTAATTTGTGATATAGTTTAAATAAGTAATAACGAACAAACAAACAAACAATATATATATAATTTATATATATAATATCTAATAGCTTATATATAGAAGTAATTGACCTTGTCCATCCGTGTCCATTTTCTCCTTCGACTCAATGCCACATTGTCACATGCCTGCCCGAAACTCGGTGGTCTAACTCTCATTCGACTTCATCCATGGAGCCCAGTGTTGCCGCACTCGCCAGTGTGGCAATGTAAGCCTCCACTCTGTTCCTTCGATGGTCCACTGGATTTCATGATTTCGTCTGATGTCTTTTTGGGGCCTTTAAGCAGTGAGGGCTGGTGATGGTGGTGGTGGTGGCCCTGATGTCTCTAGACATCTGTTCTATAGTTGTAGCACAGGCTTACCCCCGGCATCCACCCCTCTGCCCTTCCAAAAACGGTCCAAACCTCAATAATTTTCAAACCAAGGAACGTACATAGTGGATTGAGAGTAGATGACACAATCCCAAAAGGAGGTCTGTGTGGTCTAAAGACATCTTGGCGTTTGTACCATCTACTCTGAAATCGCTGCAACCAAAAACTGTTTGATCACATCGCCCAGGATCTGGTATCTCCCGCCCAAGCGCAGTGTCACCTCAGAAAAGCCGGCAGGAAATTGCTTGGAGGTCGGAAACGAACATGAAGTATTTGTTGTTGATCCAACCTTATTGGAAGAAGGCCGCAAAACAAAAGCCAACAAATTCAATAGATTGTGGAGTGCCTCTAAATTGCCAAAACGATGCTCTAGCATTGTCTTGGTTCTCTCTGAAAACCTGTTGAAACAGCAGCGGCTAAGGACAGACTCCATCTATGGCAACCTTGTAGCCTTGCCATCTCGTCCCTGAATCATATGGGTTTGTATCAAAAGAGGGAGACCTCCCGAAGACCCCCTGGAAGAAGGGAAATAGACCCAAAACCCATGGGTTGAGGATGGTTGAGGGCCCCCCTATTAAAACACTTAGATTGAGGCTCGCAAGAGCTGAGTCAGTTGCGGCAGTCCACTCTAGTGATTACAATACCGGCTTAGAGCGCTGCCTGAAACCTGAGAAACGGCCCTGAGAGGGAACGGCAAGGTGAAGAAGTCGGCAACAATATTGTTTACATCATTGGAACCTGCAGGTACGTCATCAGGCGTCCCTGATGATATCCTAGGATCATGTGAGGAGCTTCGTTGGATGGAGCCTCACATGTCCTCCTGCTTTACAAGTTGGTCCACCGGTGGTGAATTATTCAATGCAGGTTCCTTAGAAACAGGTGTGGACACACACAAAAAGCCATGAATCTGGCGCGCCTCTCTCTTGTTTCTTTTTTCGCAGCAAGGGGTGGGGGGGAGGGGGGAGGGAGTGCGTTGACTAAACGAGCCTGGAAGTCCACCTAACAAGCCTGAGAGAAAAAAA